GCAAATACCCAGGCGAGATGCGAAATTCCGGGCAGCCTCTCTCGTATCAATTCGGCCGGTAGATGAGTTAACTGCAAATAAATGTGATCCTTCTTCTCTCCGACGCCCCTGCGAAAAATAGCATCAAGTATTTTTTCCTAAAAAGAAATTTTTATTTCTTCAAAATTTAATTATATTTCTAATATTTCTTCCATTATACGTAGAGTCTGTTGCCAGATGCGTCATACCAGAGAATGTTGCCACATGCGTCACATATTCTTGGACAATGACGTGTAACTAATTCAGCATAATTAACAGTGTACTACAAATTCTAGTCTAGATAGCGTCTTAATGACTCATAGCCTATTTCTTGCTATTTACTTAAATATATACAGATCTATTGTAAAAAATTTATTTAGTTATTTCTAAATACAAATTTGCATGTATGCGACGACAAACGTGTTGTTAAAAAAGACATTTTTTTTAACAATCCCCCCTATTGCTTTTATACAAGATCTTCTAAATATTTCTATAGACTCTCCATCTTTCCTTTCATATGAATAAGTTAAATACGCTAACTCTTGGTTTTCTTGCAAAGGGAAAAAATACAAATTAGAATACAAAGGATTACAATGTTAACCTTCCGTCCAGAATTTCCATAGTCATAGCTCTCGACACAACGTCGCGAGAAGCTAAATCCTTAGCCACAGGCGCGTACTTCTCCATGAAGAACTCTCCCGTGGAATTGAGGAGTTTGCCGCCTTCTCCTCGGCTACCCTCGGTTATGAGTACGCCACTTCCGTAAATACCTACAGTGCAAAAATCAATCAGTCAATTAAAAGAGTTTGAATGAGGGCAAAAAAGAAATCATCCGCGAGATGTGTATGATCTGAAAATCACCGGTCGGGTGAAACTGAATGAATTCCATATCTTGTAACGGCAATCCTGCTCGACATGCTATCGCCATGCCATCGCCAGTGCAGGCGTGCGCAGCAGTGCAGGAGAAGTAACATCTTTCGGCACCACCTGTTGCAATCACCTGCGAGATGATAGCTGTCTTTATCATCAATGTCGATTTATTTATATTGATAAAAAGTGAATAGCATACATTAAGTATCAACGAACAAAAAAGGAAACGATATATAACATAATATTTAAGATTATAAGGTTGAAAAATGTATTTGTATTTTGCACATGAATATTATCAAGAGCAGCAAGACCCGCTTTGACTGAAAATAGGAACCTCTCTTATTTAAAAAAAAAAATTAATTACATATATTATTATACGTAATACTACACATAATAATAAATAATAATTAAATATTAATTAAATATTAATTAAATAATAATTACTTTTTTTTTAATTATATAAGCAATAAATTAAATAACACTTTCTCTTACTGTGTGATGAGCTCTAAATCGATGTAGAAGTCCGGTCTCCAATTCCCAAGCCAGAATCCCTTTGCAACATCGACCGTACATAAGCAAATCGAGAGCGAAATACTCGATGAAATAGTGCACGTCGTAGCGAAGACTCTGGCCGTAAAGGGTATGAAGTACCGCATGACCAGTTCGATCGGCGACAGCACAGGTTCGCTTAGCCTGTCCGCCTTTGCCAAATTTTAACGACTGGCCACCAAAAGCGCGCTGATATATTTTTCCATCTTCTGTACGACTAAATGGACAGCCTACGGATATTTTAGTAATTTTATTTAATACACACACACACACACACACAATACATAAATCATGTGTATTAACATTTTTAAAATATTATTTACATAATGAATATTAATATAAGTTAATAAGATATACATTTATGTCTGTCGAGATAATTGTATTTGTCATTGAGTTTACCATAATTTTCGAGTTCGTAAACTGCTCGAGGCGCTTCCCTCGCGAGTAAATGTATGGCATCCTGATCTCCTAGCCAATCGGATCCCTTCACAGTATCATACATATGATACAGCCAATTATCTTTCTGCTGATCGGCGATAGCAGCGTTTATGCCACCCTGGGCAGCCACGGTATGCGACCTGGTCGGGAAGAGTTTTGATATTACTGCCACACGATATCCCTTTTTACCAAGTCCAAAAGCCGCCCTCAATCCGGCGCCTCCCGCTCCTACTATTACTACATCATAGCAGTGGTCTATCAAAGGATAGTTCTGTAAATTAGGAGCGTGGGTAATATTGAACAACTAAAGTAAATAAGCTGATTAAAGATTTTAGAATAGCCTATTGTCAAGACGCGCTAAAAGATTGAACATCTAAGAAAATATTTTATTCAAAATAAAAAAAGATACAGGAGATTAATATGTTTATGTTTTTAAAAATAAATTTGCATATTTTAGGAAAATATAAATACAATATTGTTCTTTATAAATTATAAAAATAATTTACATAATTTTGTCAGGATATAAATACAAATACAAAGAGAGTAAGAGTTTATTTAGATTTAATTATCTACAGAGAATTTTTATTAAATAATTTTAATAAAGAGTACTCTGTCTTACACTGCCGCTTTCTTCTACGCCGCATTTTGCCTTTTCCGCTGGACTAATATTTACATGAAAGCTTCGCGAATTTATAATTGTTGTGCGAGATTGTCTTACGAATTTCTAGAGGAAAAAATTACTATTTACTTCAAATTAATCAATAATATGCAATTAGCATCAGTATAAAATCTTACAAATATTCCACTCGTTTGTACTAGTCGACTGACTGATCGATGCAGCATCTTGGTAAATATTTGTTAGGTTTGAATGCTCTTTAAAACAGCTGTCATGACTGATGAAATTCTTTTAGCTTCTGCATAACTCATTTGTCAGATAATAAAACAAATGAAAAAAATTTAAATATTTTGATCGCATATACACATGTGATTATTTTTATAAGTAATGTAGTAATTCTGGCGTAAACTTTCGAGAAAGATAAAAAGGATTGCAACTGAGGATTGCAGTTCAAAGTTTCTTTTTAAAAAAAACTTGTAAACTAGATCTGTTAAATTTGTATAAGCATTGCAATTTATTGCACTTGTAAAAATACAGTTTAGGACGTACATGATTTATGTCTATCGCATACAATTAATTCGAAATTCATTCTTCTAAGTTAGACATCGAGTCAGTTTTGTCAAACGCTTATCGCATTGTTACTCTTTGGTATACGTTACGAACACCAGAGAATCAATGTACTTGACAAATCACTCTTGTTAGAACAGTTACAGTAATCTGTAATTAGCACAGTTTGTAAAAATCTTATTAATCTATTTGCTCACTTTTTATTCAGAACTTTGAAAAAATAGCTTCTTTTTTGTTTCTAATATTTAAAAAGTAGAATATATGACAAATTTATTTTAAAAATGGTAATTTTCTTGAATTTCAAATCCATGTCTTTGCTAGCGGAAATTCAAGGATTTCCATTTTTCTTTTATTTATATCTCAAGACACGTGTGTACCAAGTTCTGTGTGTGTGTGTGTGTGTGTGTATTTTCTTTTATCTATACCATATATCCAAAACAAATTCTGTATATTTTTCGGGACATTCTATATATTATTCGGTTTTCAACATGTTTGTAATAAATAATCTTTTCTCCCACAGTAAAGGATAAATACGAAAGGCCAATCACTTGGTAAAGTTCAAGTGTGCGTTTTTATAATTGTACATTTTAATTTACATATAATTAATCCTCTTTCTCGCAAGACACGATTAAGATTGCCTTTGTTAGATAATTACTGTCTTTAAAGAATAATGGTTTATCTCTCCTACCCATATTACCTACACATTGCATTTAATTATTCGTTAGCGACACGTATTAATTGAGCATTAATGCTTGTATCGGCACGATTCATATAATCACTAGCGACTTTTCTATTCTTATTTTATGTTCAACTTTGTTACATGATATATTATGTTAGACATAAGAATCCTGTGAAGATTAGACAAATTAAGTGAGTTGGTAGAAATTTTCTGGCGAAAATAAAAATTAAGATTTAAGTCGAATGTATAAAGGAGTGATGAAAGTATAAACATAAAGTCTCTACAAGGAAAATTGGGACGTAAACGCTTCTTTTATATTTCATTGTCTCAATTTTTATCTTCCAGAAGCTTCGCGTTCACACTTTTGTTATTCTCCCCTTACATTTGATTAACGTTCCGATTTATTTTCATCAGAATACGTTTTCGCAATTAAATATTTAAAATTAAATATTTAAAATTCAAAATCGAGGGATATTATCTTAATATCTAGGATCTAGGTTACTTAGAGAAGTATATAAATAAATGTTGAATATAAAGAGAGAGCGAAAAGAAATTTACTTTAATATATTTTAATTCCAAATAAATACCCGTGTTTTTATTTCGTACTTCGCCTCTCACTAGAGCTAATATGGATTAAACCAAATACATAACAATTTTAAAGATCATTATATTCACACGTTACGAGATATATTAATATCGATTCTTCGTAATTCTCGTATTTTTCATAGGAAATATACTTGCATGATTCTTTCCATTCGTATAAAAAGCTTATCAAAAAGTACTCGCACTCGTGAATTTATAGAAAAGAGGACGGACTTGGCGATCGCTCGGCGACTCTCGGTATATGTATATATCTTGTGTTTATGACAAAAAACGTTTATCAAATATATCGCTACACTATTCAAACATAGCGAGCAAATCAACGCATTGTTTACAAAGCGAGCTAAAGTAAATTAAAAAAATTCTCTAATGAGATATAAAAATGCTGTTTCGTAAAAATTACTCTCGAAATTCTGAAATTTATGAAAGCCGCTTGAATTGTGTAGTGTTGTATATATGGTATTATCGCGATAAGGCAGTATGATCCATCGCCTAAAAGATCAGAGAATATTTTAAAAATAGACTCCATATCGTAAAATACTTTCGAAATTATAAATTATAGCGTATCTGCTCTTCGGAAAATATATTCTCTGTCTTGAGAAAATCTTTTTCAAAATAAGAAAAAATAAAATGTACACTTTCGTCCAGAGAATATCTCTCTGGTAATATTTTTTCTTCAGTTCGTGTTTTAGTATATCAAAATACAATGTGATATATAGAGACGACTCTCAGAGAACAATGTTGCGTTTCACAGCGCGAGTCTTTTGACACCGCACTCGCAGCAAAACTTGGCGGTTTCTGGAAATCGCTGACCACATTCGTGACAGAACTTGGACATCTTGTACTTGATTGTCGTCTGAGTCGGTGATGTCCCGTTCCTGGGTGCATCCTCATCAAGACGGTCGATCATGTCGTTGGCGCTGCGTCCATGGTGCGAATATTTGCGATTTAAACTGGGGGGTACAAATCAAATTGGGCTTGAAGCGAAAACGCAAATGTAAATAAACGATAATTAACACATACAATTATTAAAAAGCAAATAGCAGAATTTTTGGACTCGCGTAGAAATCTTCATATTTTATTAAATGAAATTTTCTTCATTTATATAAGATTAATTTTAAATACAAATTAATAAAGATATCACTGAATACATTTAGAAATGATAAATTTAGTTTCTGTGAAAAAAAGAACCAAATATTTTTTACAATAATTACTGTAATTATTACTGTAATTCTAAAATTAATTTTTTTTTATTTAATTGGTAATTGATTAATCTCACTGAAGACAATGACTGAAGATAAACAGTCACTTTAAAGTAGTTTTTACCAACCTGCTATAGGCTGAGTCATTGCTGAGCTTGCTGTGATCTTGCGGCTTATAGCTGTCGGGAGAGGATAGTTCCTCGTCGCTGATCAGGCTGCCATTTCGTTGTCTGTCACCGCCGGGGCTGGACAGTTCGAAGGATTCGTTATTGAGGAAGGATCTTAGTCCGGGAAACGCGTCCTCCTCGAAGGACGTCATCAGTTCGTCGAACATCGAGTTCGATCGCTTGACGTCCAACTCCGAGGAGGAGACGATCGAATTGAGACTGAGGTTACTGCCACATAGGGACGAGTAATTATTGTTTCTTTGATTGAAACTCTGATCAGACGACCTCTGACTCTCAGCATTTCTGGAACCCTTTCTCATATCGCCTGAGGTCTTTCGGTCAGGACCCGAGTTGATTCTGGGCGCAGACGAGGCTCGGATCGAGTTGGATCGGTTAATTAACGGTCCTGTATTCCTGAGCGCGTCTTTATCAAAGATCTTACGCGATCTATCCGCACTGACGACACCGCGACGCTCGTCGACGCCCAGTGCCTTTGATTTATCGATAATGACTCGTCTGCCCAATTCTCTAACAGGTTTTGCGGTCACGGAATCTGTCGCATTTTTGTTCGCGAGGTCGGACTTCAGGAAGACCTCGCGCGAAATAGAGTTGGTTTCAGTGGAATCACTTGAGAAATTGGATAAAAGGTCATCGAATTCAGTAGGTGGCGCTATAAGGGACGACCTCCTGTCGGTAGGAGGATATTTTACAAAGGCGGAGGAGTGCGAGAGAGGATAAAGGATATCACGAGTTTGCTGGACTTTAGGACTCCCCGTTATAGATTGATCACTCGTATCCGACAGCAGGTCGTTCATTTGCTGCTCGGCCAGCAGAAAGGGATCGTAGTCCTTGCAAGTACCGCTGAAATTAGAATTCGATTAATACAGCCTTTAATTCTATTTCCTTGCTAGAAATTATTTCTTGCATAAAAACGGTAAATATGAATGTAGTGAATAAACATAGTGCGCGCAATATGATAATGGCAGAGTATGGTTTGTCTATAAGTGTTTCTATCAAAAATGAACTATAGATGAACGTGTAGTGCCAATCGATTCTTCAGACAAACATTTACAAACGCGCATGCAAATTCAGAGTGCGCGCATGGTGCAACACTAAACAATCTGCTTACTAGCCATAAATTATTCTTTGAGAAATTTAGAAGCAATTTCTCTTTTTTGAGTTAGCTTGATAAATCGACTGCAGATCGAGAGAAATAAAAAGCGAAAAATAAATAGAACATTCTTATTTTAAATTAAATCGATTTCATTATGTAATAGAATTTTTAATTCAAGAGATAATTACATATTAAGATTAAATGTTGAAATTTGAAAAATTATGAAAAACAATAATTCAAGAAATACGTGTATTTATTTAAATTGATTTCCTAAATTCTGCATAAAGCCAACACTGTCATTTTTATCAATTCTAATACCTTTTATAGTGCCTTGAACTAGACTAAAATATAGATAATTAGCAATAAACACAAGTAAAATATCTATTGTGCCCTGTTCCCTTCCCACACTGGTTCCAAATCCTGGAACTTACGTTCTAGCCTTAAGCACGAGATTAAAGTCTGGCCTTCTGCGTACATAATTACACCAAGCGGGACGTGTCTCCAATTCAACTTTCCTATAATATTGTTGTCATATTAACTACCTAATAACGGTTTTACTAGAATACACAAAGATGTAATAATATGAGAAATAAGAATCTATAAAAATAATTCTACCATTTACAGTGCGATTGGCAATGCAATGTAAATCCTTTACCAATTAAATTGCGCAATTTGCACAAACTCATTACTACTTAAATATTAATATTACTACAATACGATTTATAATCAATTTTATAAAATCAATATTGCGTTATTTTAAGCTAGTTAAACAGTTAATTTATATAAAAGTTGCGTGCTTTTCTAAATATATATTAATTAGTTACTCTAATATTCTACAGTAAATATAGTATCAACATATAGTAAAAAATAATATTAAAATGGACAATTTTACTTATAACACTATAAGTTTCCACAACTTTCTGTTATATTATCTCTACCTTCGATTGATTAAGAATGGATTCAGAACAGGAGGGAGAATACGGACTCTAGGATTTCTTTTAGTAAGTTTGTATTCCATGTATGGACATGTAGGATAGATACTAGTTAATCTGCTCCGCGAGATCTTAGAGCTCCTCTCCCAGTACGAGCCCTCAGAATCTTCCTTTGTCTCCACTATGTCACCCTTTATGTCAGGTAAATCCTTAAATATTTTATTTCGACTGTTTAGTTTGATTATCTTAATGGTCTCTTGTTCGTAAGCGCAATTTGCTTTAGGTTGTCTGATGCTCGCGAGCTCGACGAATTCGACTGAGGATATAAGAGAATCAGTGCTAGCACGAAGAAGATTCATGCTTTTCCTGATTTTGTGCTTCATTTCGACGGAATTGACTGATCGCTCTCGTGCAGTTCTTTTAGACGCACCGTAAGCGCGTCTTGGAAGATTCACACTCGCGTTCAAGAAAACTTCGCTACCACGACACCGTGACTGCTCTTCCGCATGGTCTGTTAACGTGACTGATGATCTTAAATCATCAGCGCCTCGCCTATTATATTCTCCGACAAGCACGGTGTTATCGCTACCATAATCGAATTCGCTGTCTACATTCTTCTTGCGCAAACCTTCACCTGTTGTAACTTCCGCTTTAATGATTGAACGGTCTAAGAGTCTTGATTTATCATTTGAACAGTTGTTTTCTGAATCCGTGTTAAAATCTATGTTTCCATTTTTCGTATTATCCTTGATATTTCCAAAGTTATCAGAACTAAAATCTTTTTCTTGAAATCGTTTATTGTTTTTGATATGCAAAGATATGTTATTCATAGATGCATTTAAATAATTATTAGCAGCAATTTCCGAATGTTGTGGAAGAGAATATACTTCACATTTAAATTTCTTTGAATTTCTCTTCGGCTTTTTATTACAGATATTAGTTAAACCATTTTCATATCTTTCTTCGTTTATTTTAATTTCTTCAATATTTCCTGTACAATTTTTTTCTGGGGTAACATTCTGACAGGCTGAAAGAAATGATGCTTCTTTGGTGTTCTCTATTAAATCTAATGAATTACATACCAATGTTTCGTTTTCGAGACTCGAATTACAATCAACTTGATTATTGCTATTGTTTAAGGATGTTATCTCATTAATGTTAGATTGATCACATAAAAAAGTTGCTATACTTCCTTTTAATTCAAGTGAATTGTTGCAACATACATTACTTTCGTATTGTATTTCGTCCTTAGAGTTTAGACAATCCTGACTCTCATCAATACAATTCTTTTTCTTCGATACATTTGATGTAGTTGTATGTACTACATCAAACAAAGAAGATTTAATTAGTTGATCGGGTTCGCATAAATCTTTTTTAATTTTTTTTGTACATTTCGTACTTTCAATAATTATTTCATTCATCGTTATTTGTCGATCTTGTTTATCTTCTTTATGAACATTTAGTTCATCCAATTCTACAATATCTGCGCCATTCATTTTTTCATTGTTTTTTATATCTTCTTTTATACTGTGTGTGATATTAATTTCTATTCCCTCAATATTATTTTTTGTAACTTCAGCTTCTTCATAGTTTTCTACTCGTTTATTTTCCTCTATGTTATTTGTATTAAGTTCCTCCGTTGTATATGCTATCACTTCAATTTTTTCACTACTAATTTTTCGAATATTTTCTATACTTTTGTTATTTGTTTTCAATTCCTCTACTTTACAATCTACTGCAATCTTATCATCTTCTTTATCTTTAATGCACATTTTTAATTCTTTTACTTGTTCAGTTCTATTTTTTTCGTTTGCTATAATTTTTCGTTTCGATTTCTTTTTATCTAATTTGCAGATTTTATCTTCACTATTTTTCAAATTGTCTGCTACAATTTCTTTTTTCGATTTCTTTTGATCGAATTCGTAGATTTCGTCTTCCCTATCTTCCAAGTTGTTCGCTATAGTTTCACTTTTTGATTTCTTTTGATCTAATTCGTAAATTTCATCTTCATCTTTCAAATAAAATTCCACGCGAGGACTGTGCTTAATCGGCTTCCACTTTCTGTGAGAAATCTCCGACGACTCAATATCCTCTGAGTCTCTTATTAGATATGCCTGATTTAAATTCTGGATACCGCTGATCCACTTGATGTCATCGTTCTTCACTTCATCAATCTTACCATTTTTATCGGTTTGAATAAAATTATTTTCTATAATTGATAAATTTCTCTCTGTCTTATTCCTATTTTCATTTTCTTCCTCTCGATTACACAGCCGATCGAGATCGAGCAATTGAAACTCTCGCGAGAAATTATGATTAACAATTGGATCGCCAGTTTGAAAATTATGTTTCTTATAATTAATCTGTTTCCACGTCACTAACTGATCATCTTTTTGCATGTTCATGTGTATTTTACAAGGCTGCACAGTGATTCCTAGAGTTTCATCGTTCACGGCAACATCGTTGATTTTCGGATGACCCTGATTTTTAGTGGAAACGATGTTTTGCATTCTGGCGGAGAAGGTTTTTCGATTTCTCGTATCGTCATTTTGAATGCGTTGGGAGATTGTTTCGTTTCGATTAAATTGTTTTCTAGATGAAGTAATTGACGATGTAATTTCATTGAAGGAGACTAAATCATTAATCTTGGGTTTCGTAGGAGGTACAGGTAAGTGGAGAGAATGATGGGAGGATATCGCAGGATGGAAATATCGGCAGGATGATGTTAGTAGACAGTCAGGATCTTCCGGTGGCCTGAGGAGAGGAAAGTAGGATCAAGGGCATGTGACTAACAATCATCAGGAGAAGGTTGTCAGGGTTGAATAAACAAATTTTATAAAACAGATCATTGCTGAGGAAATATTTAAAAAAATGTGTACTTTTATGGTTTTAATCAATTATTTTAAATGTTTTTGTTGTAAAATCAAATTTCAATGTTTTTATACATTAAATTGTCTCTGTTGACGTTTATCGGAATTAATCACAAAATGCTTTTAAGCAGCCTTATCCTCTTTCCTTCTCCTCATGGACGAAACACTAAGATCTATCCTACATTCTATGCTTATTTTATTCTATACATTATACAAAATTTAAAATTGATTAAAAGAAAATTAATTACAAAAAAATCTCACCTATTCATACGATCGACAAGACGTGACTTTATAGGTCCGGATGAAGGAGGAGAGTCCTTGAGTTGTCCAGAACGTCTTCTGTAAAAATGTAAGTATATCGTTAAATAATTGGTTATCACAGGTCTGTAATAAATCAGAAATTTTTGTATGCAATATAATGTCATTTACATATGTTGCATAAAAGACAAATACTAGAAATATTAGAAGAAAAATGTGTGCGTATGAAAGTAATATTAAAAAGATATTAAAAAGGAAAAGATTTAAATTCAAGCAACAAACTCACAAACTTTTTTGTTCTCTTTTGTCTTTTTTTTGAAAATATTTTTTTAAAGATATTACATTAAAAATAAATAAAAAATAAGTAATTCCCATTTCTTTAAATTTTTGAATAATCGATTGGAAAATTTCATTACTTTTTAGCTTGTGAGAATTTGACTTACACAATAGCAGGTTTCTGCCTGACAGAACTCTCTCGATTGCAACTGATACTCGAGATAGTCTCCTTTGGTCTAACCAGCGCCGGTGATGACAATGAGGCCTTGGCAGCCTGGTTTGTTGCCGAGCTCGGGCTGTACTTTTCACGATTGATAGCTCGTCGGTTTTTCAAAACCGGTGCCCTATACCTCATACGTGCCTCCAATCGTTCCTTCGCCAGATTGGTCGCCGGACTCACCGGCATCCGGGTAACTCTGTCTTTGCACCAAGCCACATGTCGATCATAGGCTTTAATACCGAACTGCCGGTTACACGTGGGACATGTGCCTTTCTCGTTGGCTCGTGTTGGTGCGCCCGACGATATCAGCGAATTACATTGCTTGTGCGAATCCATCTGGAAGAATAAATTTTGGAGATGGAATTCAATTACGCGAATAAAAGAAATAAAAGCTATTTCCTTCGATATAAATTATACTTGTCGAGTTGGAAACAAAATTTCTTATTTTTTATATAAGCATAATTTCTTTCTATTTCTCATTCCGCTTTGATGTATTCCGTTTAAAAAATTATTTACTTTGTTATTTGAAATTCAGTTGGGACAAAGAAAGAACTCTTTCTAAAACAATTAAGGATGTACATCTATTTTTTAACAAAATAAAAAATAAAAAAGTTATAGATCTTACTAAATATTTATTATTTGAAAGTAATACAAAAATTGTATAATATATTAACTTTTATATATAAAAAGAATAAATTTTCAAATATCATAATTACTTTTTGTGATCGCAAAAGGACTTACAACATCGCCGCGTGCCTCACGAATCGTCCGCAAGAAGTCGTCGTGGGTCTTCTTCCAGGTGGACCTGGACCTCTCGTCCTGGTGATGTCGTCGGATCTCCTGCTTAGGTTGGAATTCGGCCAACTCAGTACCTTGGATCCTCTGCTTAGCCGAGTCGAAGGGCTTGCGCTTTTTGGCAGCGGCGCGCTCGCATATCCTCGTGTGTTTCTCCAACGACTGCGGCATGAAGGTCCGCGCGCAAATCGCGCACGGCAGCAAGATCGGCGGTGGCGCATCTGCGTCCATTTACACGGTCCAACAATTAGTAAGCTTTCGCAATTTTAATTCCGCGTAATAATAGTAGATGTTCTATATACGTATAGATGTTTTCCTTTTCTTTCTCTTATTATGCGCGAGATCACGAACTCCGATCCAAGTCACCGGCTGCGTCTATTCGTCGTCAAACGATTAACCGAGATCAAACCCGTTGTATCTTTGAAATACGACGTGTGAACGTGAGGTCTTTCTTTTTTGGAAAAATTAATAAATATTACATTTTCATTTTTTTGGTTTTTTATGTTCCATATACGTGGTACTGTGTGACATCTATCCCCGCCACGCTAATACGTAGATTCGATCTGACTCACCCCGTGCTAATCGTTATTCGCTCTGACAAAGGCCACGAATCCGCGGATAATCGATATTTTCGCCGACACATCGAGAGATCGCCAAATATGACGACAGTACACGTGACGTAACGAAACTTAGAACGTATACGTATACGCGTGTACATACACATTAAAGACGAAATCTTGTAGTGTGAGTGCAAAACACGTACTCGTCATCGCAGTCTATAGCTTCGATCGATTAAATATATAGTTTAAAACCTTATGTTCAACGTTTTTATTTTTCTAAGTAAATGCATCATTTATTATGTATGTACGTATTTATTATATACGGTTTTATTTTTCCAAGCATATTTATATAAATAATATATATATGTATGTAAATCTTTTATTATTAGGATAAAATATAAAAATACTTTAATATCATAAAAATTCTATTTAATTCAATATAAAATACTTCAAAATTTAACTATCTTTGTATAACTATTTTATTTTGATACTGTAAGCTAAATCCTTTCTCCAGTTGCAAATAAGCAATCGAGTGAATTGTATGTATTATAATAAAAATAAGAAATTCTATTTTTAACATTATTTTAATAAATAGAATATTTCTCATGCTATGACACATACATATTAACTAAGAAAATAGACAAAAAAAATTATTTTTGTAAACGAGCTATTCATTTGTTACATATACGCTCTATTTTTCTCTTCCCGTGAAAAAACGCAAGACTTCGGAAACACTTATACGTGGCGATGCAACGCGCTGCGACTGGAAATGTCGGAAATCTAAATTGCAAATTGCACTTTCTTCGATCGCCGTGGTATTGCGTAACGACTATAGCTACAGTGTTCTCTTCTTGCGAGATCACACACTTCGAGAGTGAGCCCCAATTAATATGATCTATGCGTTTCGAGATAACGCCTCCTCTATTCAATAAGCCACTCATTTTTAGAGGTGACATATGAATCCTGCATTTCTTGTCTTATGGAAATTTCGATGAGATAAGTAGATCGATTCTTGTAATATCTGATATTACACCACTGTTCCAATAAAAGTAACAAATCATTTCCAGCACATCGCAAGAGAATGTAAAAGTAAATAAATTTTCCACATACGCATGTATACGCATAAAGCTTTATTCACTTTAATTTTCATATCTCCATGTTTGACTAAAAATCCTATTTCATTATTATTATTTTTTTTTTTATAACAAAAAAAATATTCGGAAATGTTCGCCTATTTCTGTTAATTCCCCAAACAGCACTTTCACAAATTGGAAATAAAAATCGGTTCGCGCGACGCGAGAGCTACAATTAAAATATGTACTTCCGCAATACCACGAGTGATTTTAATCGCGCACTCGTTAATTTCGTGGCTTTCGTCCGATCGAATCTCACTTCGAGGGAGACTCCTCGTTTTCTCATAAGTTCTAATAAGCGATTCTCAGGTGCGTGTCGCGTGGACGCACCTGCGGCGTCAACTCGCGCGGCCGCGCCGCGTCGCATCGACGAGGACGTCGAGGACATCGAAGAGGCCGAGAGGGTCGCCCCCGCGAGACTCGGCTCTCTCGCCTCTCGAGCGAGCAAGCTTCCTTTTTTAGGCGTCACCGAGATTCGAGTTGCCTCGCCGCGAGAGTCACACGCGTGTCCCTTATCCGTCACGAACACACGCAAGAGTATCCGTTCCTTCCGTCCTCGGATCTTTTTCTTCTCTTCTCTTCTCCCTCTTTTTTAAGCGAAGAAACATTAGTGCTCTCCTTTTTTTGAACTTTTTGCATGGCTCATCTTTTCTTTTTTTCTCTCCACGTTGGAGAAAAGGAAGATAAAAGAAGAACTAATTTTTAATTTAAGTAAGTTCAACTAAAAAGAAATCAGATTTACAGTTTCGTCAGTTCCTTTTTTTATTAACGATTTTTTCTTATTCATTAAGTTCTTCATAGATTTGAATTTTTGTTATTTGATCTGTCAGATCGAAGGTTTCTCCAGTGTCGATGCAAAGAGAAAGATAACCGTGTCTTTTTTAAATGCGTCGAGAGAATGCAGGTCACCGTATTTGCCTTCGTTCGCGACGCAGGTTTCGCGTCATTATACAATGCGTGTATTACGATCGTATTATATATTATTCATGACACGTGTATAAAATCCTTTTACTTTGCAGCTAGCTTATCCTATATCACCTATTCCATTAAATAGATGTGTTTGCGATGCCTAATTTTTATTTAAAGTTATTTTTCATTTGATTAAATTTTCGCTTTTCCCACTTAATCTTCGGCAATTTGCGTGACAACAAATAGCATACGGCACTGTTAAATGATCTTATTGCGTCGGAACCGCTTAACGACGCCCACAAACGCAATTGCTTCTATTCTGCTTGCGTTTTTCTTCCAGAGTCGCGCGCGTTGGAAACCAACCGGTGAAGGTTTTTTTTCTTTTTCACGTCAGAGTTATTGCCGTTTTTCTCCCGTCTAAGATCGACGAGACTCTTAATGTAATTGCTAAGTTGGTGCAAATTGATCAGTATGCATGACGGAGGTGTGTTATTACGATTCTTATAGCCGCTTTTAGACGTGTGCGAGTAGCAGAAAAATAAATATTTTTACCGTCACACCAAATGTGAAATGAAAAGGAAATCCTTCAGAGTCGAGTTGCTCTTCGAGGAACGAGGCAATAATGATTAATGATAGACGTGCGTATAGCTATTGAAGCTATTCTGTTAATTTAAAGCATTCAATAAATTGATATGCAATTTATTTCAAAAAGAAGATAAAATAGCGTGTTAAAACATTCAAAATCGTTATACAATTACTACGGCAAATTCTATTATTTTTCAATCAAATTAACAAATTTTTGGAAATTATAGTTACGTGCAGATAGCAATACGATGCTCATCTGTACTAATTGAAGCTATTTGGCTTCTGATTTGGAAAGTATAAGTTTGGACGTCAACTGATATATACAAACATAAACACGTACTCTTACATATTCTAAATATGTGATATATGATATCAACAGCGGCAGAGCGTTCAATACAATTCCGAAAATTTTCAACTATCGCTTAATTTTCATCGAAAATTTAAATTGCGTTAAATTATAAATATTTAATGTCCATTAATTAACGTTCTTTTAAATTATATGTGCCATCAATCTTGCATTCTTCATAGTCTTATCGTAAAATACTTCATGAGATCAAGGGCCAAATAAGTACAGAGCATACGCACATACATTCTCAACAATTCATCGTCCAGCCGTTTAAAAGATTCGAATACTCGTGAGAACAACATTGTTCAATGTAATTCAAGAAATAATAATATCCGAGAATATTAAAATCGAAGAATGCGGGCTCACCTTCGGGAAACAGCGCGATTTGAATCTCACGAATGGACGATGGTGGATTGTTATCGGTCTCGTCATAAAACAAGATCCCGTCGTGAAACAGGGCCTCGTTGTAGAACGGGCCCCCGTCCGCGAGTCTCTTCGGGACACAGCACAGCATCTGATTACGAGCGCATCAAGACACCGACTGAGAGAACGCGCGACTCGCGAGGTCAGACCAGCTCTTGTAAGAGCGGCGCTCTTACAATCGTTATAACCGCGAGATCTTCGCGACGGAAGTTTATTTTCGGCCCCGACTCGCCGTCTCACGAAACGAATCTCGCTCCTTTCCTCGCCTCTTTCTTTAGTACACCTTGGCTGTGCACTGACACGCGAGTAAACAGTGTAAAGTGAGGGGCCAAAGAAAAATATTTGATAATTCTCGTAAAAACTTCTTTCAAAATAAAAAATTAAATCGATTTTGTAACGCATAGTCTCTGATTTTCTAATACACAGTTATATTTCAATCGAAACTATCGCTTCTTATTATATATCATCTTTGTTTTTTATCAAATTTTATTATTATTCAAAAACACTTTTGATCTCAAGGTAAATTTTCACTTCTTTTGTTTCTAATGCGAATGTATAAGCATTTCGAAATATAGATAATAAATAATTTATGATTTATTATCTATATTTCGAAATGCTTATACATTCGCATTAGAAACAAAAGAAGTGAAAATTTACCTTGAGATCAAAAGTGTTTTTGAATAATAATAAAATTTGATAAAAAACAAAGATGATATACTATATATAATAAGAAGCGATAGTTTATTCATCATTATCAGTCGGAAAAGAGAAAGAGAACCACCAAAATTCTTGCAAATTATATTTGAATAGAAATATTTTTTAATAAAACATTTGTAATCGATAGAATAAATTTATAAAATATATCAATAAAAATTATCTCTTTATATTTCAGGGAAAAATTAAATATTATTTTATATTTACTTCTAAATATTATTATAAATTGGATGGTTTATAGCTCATTTTACTTTTATTCTCATTTCTAAATATATGTATCTGATTATTTATTGATTAAACAGAAGGAGAGTTTTTGCAGGTATATATTTTTACAAGTCGATTTCTATCGATTTAAGTTTTATTTTACTGAAATATATTTGTAATATTAATATATTAATATTTTACAAAATTATTTATTATACATTGTTTCGTTTCTGACATCACAATTTGAAATAGCAATGGAGAGTAAACAATGTCTTAAATTAAACTTTACTGATTATTTCTTCCTCTCTTCACAAAAAATTGCAATTTTCCTCGGAGAAAAAAACTTCTCCAACGTTACTTCTTTCTTCCCTAACTACATCGGTAACCACAACAACTCTTATCCTATACAGCTATATATAGCAAGCAAATTAGATTATTATAAAAAGAATAGAAGAAAAAAAGTATTTATTAAACCAATGTTATAATTTTTTTTCTTAAGCGTCTGTTGAAATAAATTTAACAAAATACAGCAATTAGAGGTTCATGCTGTACTATAGGTATTAATAAATGAGACATGATGAGACATAAGCACATTATAACGATTATCTACCATGTGCATCCTTCTTCCATCCATTCCATGAGCACTCACAAAATCCGTCTTAAAGCCTCTATTACGAAATAGAGGTCGATAGCTTCTTTTGTCGCAGTTCCCTGCGATATTTCTCGTAACTGTGCACCGGTGACCGCGGCCGTGTGTTGTTTACTCTATAATTAGAATGGACGGGGATCGTGAGGATCGAGCGCGCCGAGGAACCGGAAGCGGACCACAACGATGGTGACGACGGTAACGAGAAAAGCCACGGAGAAAGTGGGACCGTCTCGGGAA